GCAAATGCTGGTATTGGAGCCCCTCCTGGTGCAGGGAGGTGCTTCAGTTGGCCCATCATCCAGGCAGAGAAGCCATCTGGAGACGGTCTCTGCTGCAAGTGATGGCTGCTGAAGCTGAAGCTCTTCTCAGCTTTGTGTTCCAAAGGCTCCTTCTTTTGTAGCATTTGGTGATGACCCCCTCCCCCCGGGTTTTCTTCACAGTACCACAGTGTTATGGCTTTAGCCAGTATCTCACATGGACTTTTGTTCCTGCTCTGGCTTCTTCCTTCTTACGTAGCCACAGATTTAGGGTAGCTTTCAGCCTGGCAGTGCTTAGTTAGCAGCTTAATAGTGACCATGTAGGCCAATCTTATTCTGAAGTGGGAGAGTTATTTGCCCTCCTCTTTTTCCACAGACTGCTGGGTTGCAGAATGTACAAGATGGGTTGTTGTTCATTTTCCAGGAAGAAGAGGAATTCCTTTGTCTTTAAAAGTTAGGGAGGGGTGTGAACTTTTCTGAACTTCATATTCAGGGTGGGTGAGGTCTCTCTCTCTCTCTCTCTCTCTCTCTCTCTCTCTCTCTCTCTCTCTCTCTCTCTCCCCCTCCCTCCCTCCCTCCCTCCCCCGTCTCTCTCCTCTCGCCTTCCCCCCCACCTACCTGTACCTGTTTCCTTAAACATTTTCTAACCTAGGCAGAATATTTGTGAAAGTGCAGTTTCCTGAATGCTGGATTTTTGGAAGCAGAGAACTTCAGGGGGAGATAGAGCATGATCTTTTTCCAGGTTCCTCTCACGGGGCTTTGTGCTACTTTGCAAAATCCAGATATTGGAACAGTTCAAAGAGATTCTTAGGGGTGGAGCAGGAGTGGAGTTGCCCAAGGATGATGAAACTGAAGTGACAAGCCAAGAAGTCTTGCTTAATAATCTGGGTATAATGAGGGTGGGGAGGGAGGGTGATCACTATGCCCAGTCCAGCCTGTTCTCTGTTTCATGGTTTGAGATGCAAACTTCTGCACATGTTGATCAGATTTTTTTGTTCATTAGCATGAAATTTGATTTGTTCCACATTTTAGTGGAAAAAAAAGAATCTAACTGGAAGAAGAGACATGGGAGACTATGGTATTTGGGAAACAACAGGCTCAGCCATGCATGGATCCCTAAAGCAGGTAGAGAATTTGTATCTCCTTTTTGCCTCTTAGCTAGGATGAAGGTGGGAACACTCTGCCTTAGTGGTGGAAACATCCCCTCTCCTCCAAAACTGAGTTTCTTTCCAGACTGCAGACGTAGAACCCAAACTCTACTGGTCAGAATTCGCACGGAGACTCTGCTTTTGCTCTGTGCAAGTCCAAGAAGGAAAACTTTGAGGGAAATCAGCCCTCTAACCTGCATCTCCCCTGTTAAATCATTTTCTGGGAAATGGTTCCTTGGTGCTAGACTTGCACCCCTTGTAAAAAAAGGTTTAATTTTTGTTATGGGGCAAACTCAGTGCCTTTCCTAAAAGGAGCAGAGAGTGATGGAAGAGCAGCAGTGATACCCACTTCTCTGAGAATGAGGTTAAATTGCTGAGGTTGGTTGCAGGGAGGCAGAATTCATAAGAAATTCTGTTTCACTCCCCACCATCTTATAGCCTGCCCATACCTATTCAAGAACTTCCTGCCTTTCTTCTCCTTAGCACCCATCCTGACCAAAATTGCAGCCACTGGGTGGTAGTTGGGGAGGGTACCCAGAGAAGGTCTCAGCATAGAAGCTCCAGTCCAGCCAAGGAGTCGACATGTTCCTGCTCTACCACTAGACGAAATATTAATTTATATACCAGCCTATTTTATCTTGAGTCTGGGTGATTCACAATCAAATGACAAACACAGACAAGGTTCCCTATAGCTGGATCAGCCTGTCCCAGAGGGTCACATTCCTATAGATTCCATTCTCCCGCTATCAATTATTTTAGCTTTTTATTAATTTGTTAATCTGTTTGGATTTGGTATCTACCAAAAGATACCAATTTCATTCATTCTGACAAGAAATCTTCCTTTTTGTTTCTTCTGCATCTTTCAGCTTTTGGTTTCTTTGGAGCCTCCTCGATGCAATGCTGACCCAACAAGCCATGGAAAATTAGTAGATTTTCCTTCCTTCCTCCACTGAAAAGGGCAGCTGCCTCTATTTCAGGGACTTCAGCCAGCGTGGAGTTGTCAGGGAAGCCTGCCTGAATTTGTTGTGACTGCATAGGATGCTGGATGTCCCCTAGAAAGTTTCAGATCGAGGGTCAGGGTTGCCAAAGGCTAGTGGCTGTGCACATCCCTTCTGTGGATGAGGAGTTATCTAGCTCTTTGCAATGTGTTCCAATGTGGCAACTCAGACAATCACTGATCTATTATGCCACAGGGGTCGGCTCCACTCTGTTGGGTGCATGAAATGTTATTCTAGTTACAAATAAAATACAGTATTGGAAAGAGAAGAAAGGAGGAAGCACTGAGAAGGGATGACATAAAATGTAAACAACAGAGTTTATGTATTAAGTGTATGCAAAAATAATTGCAGCATAAAAGCTGCATTTTACCAAAATCCTGTCTTGCCTGTTCTCATCTCTGGCATGTGTGGTTTGTTGGCAGGCCAGGTAGGATGCCCTCCAAAGAGCCCAGCCCCTGTTAACTCCTCCCCCTTTCCCTTCCCTTCTCTCCCCTCCTCCTCCCCCTCCCTATTCTCCCTCCTTCCCAGGAAATCCATTTAAATGCAATTCCATTCTTCAGTCCTCTCCTTCATGCATGTCTAATGAATGTCAGAGAAAATGCTATTACAATGCAGCCAAGTAGGATCCAATCTTGTAGAGTGTCTACAAGTCATTTGGCGAAAACCCTGGGAGCGCTCCCAGTTTTATTACGATGTAATTAGAAATAAAATCTCATTGCCATAGTTGAATGAGGGATGGGTGTTAATCCTTTAACCGGGAAAGATAGAGCTGTACTTAGAGAAGAGATTAAGGGCAGGAGTCTGCCAGCTTAGGCAGGCCTGGTGGTTGAGGAACGGTGAAACCCCCAAGCCTGGTGGGGAAAAGGTTTTTATGAATGGGAACCTCCTTTCTTTGTATTTGTCATTCAGGATTTGGCGGTGGGTGGACTGAAAAGGTAAAACTCTCACAGTGGCTTGGTTAGGTTGAAATAGTTGAAACCAGCTCTTGGCTTGGTGAGCTGATAACCAGGCCATCAGATAAATTTGTGTGGGTTTTTGAAAATGGCTTCTTAAGCCTCTGCGAAATGACCTGGCTACTGATTCGGCTGGGGAGAAGGCCCGTCCCTGGAGATAGCATAAGACTGGCCCCTTGCTAAGGGGAAGAGACAATGAACCCTCCTTGGCCATTTGGGGCACAGCCCAAACACTGAGCAGTAGGTGGCCAGGATCCTCCTTTTTGGTCCTCTCTGCAGGAAAAGATTGACCCACGATAACAGGTCTGAGGGCCCCTCTGGGCTGGCGGCAGAACTCAGACAGCAGTTCCCTTTTCAGCCTATTGGCTTAAAGCAGCGGTTCTCAACCTATGGGTCGCGACCCCATTTGGGGTCAATCGACCATTTCACGGGGGTCGCCAAGCAAGGCTGTCCGCCATTTTTTTTCCCTTTTCCGGCGGGTGCCTTACCTCCCTTGGGCTGGGCCAGCTGGTGGTCGGCCTGCTCCGTCTCTGCCGCTTGCCAGCTATGCCTCAGCCAGCGCAGGGGGCGGAACCACGCATGCGCAGCGCTCCTGGGCAGGGAAAGTCCTCGACTTAGGACCGGTTTAGTCCTCGACTTACGATCGGTTTAGTCCTCGACTTACAACCGGTTTTGTCCTCGACTTACGACCGGTTGGGGGTCGCGGCATTAAAAAGGTTGAGAACCACTGGCTTAAAGGGACTCCTGGCTGCTGATGTTCCTTTCTTTTGGGGAGGATCTGCCCCCACCCCATTTTTCCCAGAGTAGGGAATCCTTTAGCAGACTCTTTGTTAGTGCAGCCTCCTTCCCCCAAGGCCTTTTCCTTCCTTGCAGAATATAAGAGCCAATGCTTCTGAAAAGCTACTCCATCAATTAAATGTGCATACAAATTGGACAGGGGAGAGCAGCCATTTGCAAAGCAGTGGTTGCCTGTTGCCATAGCAACTGCCTCCCCCCACACCAAATTCTGAGGCAGGCAGGCTCCAGGCTGTTGGTTCGCAGGCAGCTGGGAGAATCTGTATTCTTTGTCCCCCTTCCTTGCCCCCCCCCCCGCTGCCCAATTCCAGACTGATGACTTTGAACTTCAACCCATGGCTTGTACTGAGGATAATTGTGGTCCTCCAGAGAAAAGGACCTTGCCAGGGTGCATCTCTCCAATGTTGGGATGCCCTGGGGAGGAAGTTGGTTTTGAGCAATGCTTTCGACTGGGGATTGGCTGGGCAAGTGGGGACTGCTGGACAGCTGGAGCCCATTCCCTCCAGGCTGCAGAGCAACTTACCCCTCTCCCTCTGATGGTCAGCGGCCAATTACATTTCATTGCATTCCTTGGCAGGGCTTCTCTGCCAAAGTCTCTTGGTGGATGGCCCCTTGCAGTCTCGGTGTTACTGCCAACACAGTGGGGTGGGTAAGTGAAGCACACCTTATTACTGGCATCTCATCTCCAATGTGTGTCTATACTTTGTACCTGCACAGACACATGTAGTGTGTGGATGAGATTGCAGGCAAGTATAAACTGCTCTCTCTTTCTGACGGGCTTAACCAGAATGTTTGTTTTAGTCCCAAAGCTATTTAAGACACCTCAATATCTAAGGAGTAGAAATAACTGTTAACTTGGGGGCTTAACCAGATTACTTCCCACCTGCCAGAAGGAAAAGTCCCCTTGCAGTCTGGGCCCTGGCCCCTTTCTGGGACTCTGCTGCCCTTTGCTTTCCAGTGGAAGAGGTTAGAGCCTGCAAGATGTCTCCTTCTGTTGTGTTGCTGCTGATTCCCCTCTGCACTGATTCTTTTAGTCTTCAGGGACCTAAACATGCTGACATTACTCTCTTTTCTCTGGTCTCTTCTAGAAAATAGGTTTTTCATTACTTTCTATGGTGGATTGTACATATCAGATGTCCAGAAGGAAGACGCCCTGTCCACCTATAGATGCATTACAAAGCACAAGTATAGTGGGGAGACGCGGCAGAGCAATGGTGCCCGCTTGTCTGTCTCAGGTAGGTGTTGCTGGGTCATCTGCCAGGGAGTTGGGCTAAGCTTTTGGCTTGCTTCAATAGGCTCCCAGAAGGGAGAAGCAGGGGTGGCCATCTGGAAGCAAGGGTTATTGAAGAAAGACTAGCCTATGGCAAAGCCCAAGATTGTCCTTGAACACTTTCCTGAGTTGGGGGGGGGCAGGCAAGGATGTTTGTGGCTTCCGTGGAGCCCTGATGATGCGAGAAAGTCCCCCGGGACAGGAAGGCCTGCCCACAGCAGCAACATGCTTCTTCTGAAGAACTATCAATATGAAAAGCAGCCTGAGAGCCAGCAGTTCTCGGGGCTGAGGAGCTGCCAACAGCGGATTCCTTCACTGGAGACGGGGTTGCACCAGCTGATCTCTAGGATCTCTTCTGATCTTTCCATTTTGTGATTCTGCTTAATTTCAAAGCCACCAAACAATGCTCAAACAGTTCTTAAATGTACAGGAAAATCAGGAAGAAAACACCCTGGATTTGAACCAGTGGAGCAGCCAGCCAGGTGCCTGCTAGTTTGTAGCTAAGATCATTTTCTAATCTATCTGTGTCTCTTTCTGTTTAATCCTACTCAAAGAAACAAGGTAGGAGGTCTAAGTGCTGGTCAGGGGAGTCTGAACATCGGTCTGTTTTCTATACTGGACAGAAGAGTTGGGGTTAGCACCAAGTGAGGCTTAACACCCAAAATGGAAAGGAGACTTACTTTGGGACAACTAAGGAAAAGAAAAAAAAACAGGGTGGTACAAAAATTCTTTAGTGCTTCTTGAGTTGTAAGAAACAGGGCTTTCTTCTTTCTTCCTCCATTGAACCTGCCCATCTACTCAACCTTCAGCTGCTGCACACGTTTGGGGCAGCCGAGGAAAATCTGCTTCTGGCTAAGCCTGAGCCTTCTCCCCTCTTGCTTACCAGCAGCAGAAGCTTCACGGATGCCGGGGGGGGGGGCTACTGAGGGGAGAGCCTGGAGCAGCTTATCCAAGCAGCTACAGTCTTCCCACTCTGCCCAGTGAGGGGAAGAGGCTTTTCCTCATCCTGTCTAGGCCTAAAAGAAGCCATTCAGTAAATCCCTGCAGAGAGCAGGTCTGTGGAAGTGCTGGGCTCTTGAAAGGTCAGCTAGACAAGAGACTGTTCTTCTGATTCCTTTGCCCCCATGCCGAGTTGCATCGATCTCCTTTGTTCACATACCTTGAATAACAAACTTCTCATCTCCCACTGGTCAAGATTGCAGAAGGCCCAACTCACAATTTTGGTCACCTGTTTTTCTTTGGGGACAGTGTTGATGTGATCTGGTATTGGGGGTGTAACTGGGAGGTCGTTTGTTGTGGTCAGATCATTCTCTATGGGCATCAGTATTATTTGTAGACACTCCCTGATGCAGGAAGAAGGATCTATTTGATTGGTCCATCTCAGGAACTTGGTAGATCCTGTTAGATTCCAGTGGGATTCCAGGCTTGTTCTTGAGACTCTTTGTTAAAAACCCCTTAGTCTGTCCCTGGAAGATGGGGTGGCAATGACCTTGGATCAGATCATACCTCTGCTTCTGGATCCTGAAAACTCTCTGATTTTCAGAGGTGCTCCAGAGATAACTGGAGTGCACTGGCAGAAAACAAAAAGTGAATACATGCATGGGTGAGACATTTATTAAGTACAACCTTGTAGTGATGAGTGGCAAAACATGCTAATTTCTCTGCTCTTACAACATCTGCATATAGCCAGCTGGTGGTCCACAGTTGGTCCAATATGCAGCAGTGCAGGTAATTATGAGCAAACGATGGTACACCCATGTAACATCTCTGTTTGTGAACTTCATTGGTCCAGGGCTGGGTTATTTGCAAGACCCCACTCTCCATTTGTGTCTGTCAAGAGTTGTTTTGGATAGTGAAATGGTTAGCATACTAAACAAATGAACAAAATTCCATGAATAGGAATGTGAAAAACTAGTTTGCATTCCCTTCACAAAATAATACCATCTGATGACACCTAGAAGGGGTTCTCTATTAGCACCTGCACTTTGGAACAGTACCCCCCCCTCCCCAAGATTTTGATGGTCTGACCCTGCTGGCCTTTAAAGTCTTTAAAAACTAGATTTTCCTTCTCAAGCTCTTGGCTGATACATTGAATGAACCCATCTGGAAAAAAAGTCATTTCAAAACGAGATGGAGGGGCAAATAAATTTAATAATTAAAAAAATTAAAAAAGTAGTTTAGGGTTTTAAATATGTTGCATTGTTGGCCTTTATATATACTGTTGTGTATTGTATTGCCTTTTTATAATTATTGTTGTTTTGTTTTTAATCCCATGCTAGTCAGCTGGAGGTGAATGTCTGATTTGGGTGCTCATACAAATAGTTTGTTTAAAGGAAAGGAAAAAAAATTGGCATGTGGCATCATAGAGATGGGATCCAGAGTGCTCTGCGTCCCATTTTCTACTGTTTTGTGCAACTCAGGAAAGCTGCTCTGCACATTTCTTTCGATAGCAGGAGTGGAGTCACCCCTATTGATATCATCTTCATCCGGAGCAGTTGCTGAATATTTGTCCAAATGGCCACGGGCCAACAAGAAGGCCCAGAAGATTCTACTTCTAAGTTCTGCTGGGCGAGAACTTTAAATCAATGTCCATCACTTGCAGAGACCAGGGAGCCAATTCAGGAGGAGAGATAAATTGCTAAAAGGGTTTGAGAGTATCTTGCATCGTCATGCACTGCATTCATAGAATTTGGACTGGGGCTGGATTGCCCCACCTGAATTCAGTTTGTTTCTCTGTTCTCAGACCCTGCAGAGTCTATCCCAACCGTTCTAGACAGTTTCCAGGTCCAGGAAGCAAAGATGGGGCAACTGGTGGAATTGCCATGCATTGCCTCTGGATACCCGAATCCTGCCATCCGATGGGTAAAGGATGGAAGGCCCCTGCCTACTGACAGTCGATGGACCAAGCGCATCACAGGCCTGACGATCAGTGGTTTGCGGGTGGAAGACAGTGGGACCTACATCTGTGAAATCACAAACACTTTTGGGTCTGCTGAGGTCACTGGGACCCTGACAGTAATCGGTGAGTGGGTGAAGACTTAATTAATTCTCAGATGCTGTGTAGTAAAACACTTTTACTGGGGGGGGGGGGAGGATAGAAGAAAGAGCATGGAGGTGCTCCAAGATCTTCCATATTTTTACAGAAGATGCACATCTGGGGGACCCGGCTGCTTGGGAGACTAGTAACCTACCCATATGTATGAATGAAATGTAACTTATTCAGGATGCAAAACCAAAATTATTCTGAAGAGCTCCAGAAGGGTGTCCTGTGTGATTTTCCAATCAAAGAACAAATGCATTTCCACTGAAGTCAGCGAACTTATTTAAAGAACATTGCTCATGGGGGCAAATCCCTTCAGATTCACAGATACAGTTGGGGAACTGGCTGTCTATAGCTAACTACCATAGGAAAAGGATAATTTAAGTAATATGGTGACTTCACATAGCTGTGAAAAATAAAGGGAAACTTTCAAAGACCTGATCCATCAAGAGGAATTCCCACAGCAATTGTTGTGGGTCGGGTGATCATCTTGCTCTAAGACAGGGCTTTTCAACCAGTGGTACAGGTACCACCTGTGGTACATTGGCACCTGACAGTGGTACGCGACCATCCTAGAAAAGTGGTAGCGGGGGAGGGGAATGAGCTGAACTGGTGGCAGCACCGCACAAGCCTGAGCGAGAGATGGCTGGAGCTGCAGGGCTGTCAGGGCTCAGCGGAAGCACCAGGATCAGCACCAGGCTCCAGCTGGAGCTCGGTGCTGATCCTGGTGCTTCTGCTGAGCCCCGAAGAAGCACCAATCAGCTGGAAAGCAGCACTGATCCTGGTGCTTCTGCTGAGCCCAGAAGAAGCGCTGATCAGCTGGAATGTTGCAGCATCTCCAGGGTCTGGTGATTTACATTCAGATGCTTGGCAACTGATTCATATTTATGATGGTCACAGTGTTCCAAGGTCATGTGAAGTGACCAAAACCTGCTGCAACCACCCAGCAGATGGGGGGAATAAAAACCAAACACCTCCCCACCCCATCCCCGCTGCCAATCTTCAACAGAAATGCTCACAACAATGAAAACCTTGGACAGGAGGAAGAGCGTGGCCGGGCGGGCAGGCAGGTGTCTTGCTCGGCAGTGCCATGGGGGGCACTTTTTCAGTGCCATTGTAACTTCAAAAGTCACTAAGCGAACTGTTGTAAGTTGAGGACTACCTGTACTTTATCACTTTTTTCCTTTTTTTTTTTTGGTCATCAAGTTTTTGACACCTTGCTAGGCAACTGGTGGTACTCGGATGTTGCCATATCCTAAAAGTGGTACAATGGGTGAAAAGGTCGAAAAGCCCTGCTCTAAGACTCTGGAAAACTTTGATGCATTTTTTCTAGCCAACTAGATGTCTTGTTCCTGACATTCCCACTTCTTGGTTTCAACTTTGTGTTAGCATCTCTGCAGAGAAGCCATGGATGATGGGATTGGGAAAAGAAGTTGGGTTGCCTGGTAGCCAGACAAGGATGGCTCCTATTTGGATCTCCTCCTGTCTTTAAATGGGTTGTGCTCTTTATCTTTCACAGAGCCACTGCGGGTCACCCTAACACCAAAGAAGCTAAAGACTGGAATTGGAAGCACCGTTATCCTCTCTTGTGCGCTTTCTGGCTCACCAGAATACTCCATCTGTTGGTTCCGCAATACAGAGCTGGTGGTTCCAGACGACTTTGTCTCCATCCGGGGAATCCACAATGAGACGCTGCTCATCACAGCTGCCCAAAAGAGCCACTCAGGGGCCTATCAGTGTTTTGCCACCAGAAAGATTCAGACAGCTCAGGACTTTGCTGTGATTGTCTTGGAGGGTGAGCATCCAGCCCTGGAGAGGGGCTTCTAAGCTCCTGGCCTAGTCCTGGGTTCATTCTAAGGAAGGAAAGATCCTGAATCAGACCTTTGTTCTGCCTAACTCAGGCTCCGTGTTTTGCTGAAGTGGTTCTCTGTGGAGAGGGAGAGGGAGGGTGGAAGAGAGAGAGGGGGGGAGAGGGAGAGAGTGCAGTTAGGTTGTGCAGTGAAGCTGAATGACAGAGCATTTATGGTGGGCAAAGGCCTACCTTCTTCAAGCAACATTTAAATTAATGGAAGTCGCTACCCCTGAATGTTCTGATAATGAGGGGTTAGAACTAAAAAAGAAAAGTTGGGATAATGTTTTGTAATCTCTGGTGTAATAAGAGAGAAGGGAGGTATGTTGCCTGGTGGTCCCACTTTTGAGTTTCCAGTAAATTCTCATTTATTACAAGGAAGAAAGGGGACTATTGGGCTGGAAGCTGTTGAACAGGGTGGGGAGGGCTTTAGTTCAGGATGGCTAATATAGTTTCACAATGGATGGTACCCCTATTATTCTGTAAAAGGCTGAGGGGCCTACAAAGTTATGCCCTACTCTTTCCAGGCTTTTGGGAATGTTTTGAGATTTAGGGCTTGAAATGTGGTGCTTCAACATTTTTCAATCCTCCTATTGTTAAAAAGATGCGCTTGGATAGAAAGAACAATTGTGTTGATCCACCACTCTGCTGTGTTCTCTCTCCTAGATGGGACCCCCCGGATTGTCTCCTCCTTCAGTGAGAAGGTGGTGAACCCTGGTGAGCAGTTCTCCCTGATGTGTGCAGCCAAGGGTGCCCCTCCCCCCACGATCACTTGGTCCTTGGACGATGAGCCCATCCAGAGAGATGGCAGCCACCGCACTAACCAGTACACCATGTCTGATGGCACCACTGTGAGCCACATGAATGTGACAGGCCCACACATCAGGGATGGAGGCGTCTACCGATGTACTGCGCGGAACTCGGTGGGCAGTGCCGAATACCAAGCGCGAATAAACGTAAGAGGTGCCTGTCTACTTTTCAATATCAGTCTAGGCTCTTCTTGCATTGTTTTTTGTTTCTGGTTGGTTGTGCTGTTTGTTCTGCCTTGTTCCCTTACCTTTGTGTGTAATTTCACCATAGGATGCCCTTTGGCAGAGCAGAGGGTGCTGGGGGAGAATGCAGATCTCAGCTGTCCAAGCAAAGCGTGGGTAGACTGTTGCCCCCATGGGACCTGGGTGGGAGTGCAGAAAAGGCAGGCGGTGGTGGAGATGGAGCTGAATTCCCTTCTGATATGGCAGAGTACCATTCTGCGCACTAGCCCTTGGCAAAACTGGTAATGTTAAGCCAAATTGCACCCCTTCCCTTTTTATTTAAGTTTAAAAATGGTGTGCCTGCTTTTCTATCCTGAATCAGAGGCATCTATACCAGTTAGAGAAAGCTGTAAAATTATGGTTGTGGAGGCAAAATAATTGGCTCAGAAATGGTTCCCATAGAATAAATGTTGGTTCTTTGCAAAGGGTGTGTCCTTGATTCCTGAAGACACTCTTCCTCCTGAAACTGTTGCAGGCTGGAAACCAGTCTTGGACCATAGAAGAGGGCAGATGTCTTGTTTAGAACATCCTAGGAGAATCACTGTTTGCTGGAAAGAGCCATTCCCTAGTTTCCTGCAGCACAGTTCGGTGTCCTGTGCATTTCTTTTGGACACTTGCTATGCTTCCTCCATGCTCCTTTGTGGGGTGCCTGGAAGCCTTTTGGCTCTTGCTCAGCAGAACGGCAACAAGCACTCAGTCTCTCTCTAGCTTCAGGCTTACCATTCATAAAATAGCCCACCAGCAAGACAGAGTTGTTGCTTGCTGTCGCTAGAGTCTCAAAAGTGCAACTGGACTTTGTTTTTGCCTTGAGAAAGACATTTTGCTCCTCATCTGAAAAGCTTCTCCAGTTCTGTCAGAACTGAAGAAGCTTCTTGGATGAGAAGTGAAACCTCTTCAAGCAAAGCAAAGCAAAGCAAGTTTTTCCTTGAGAAAGATATTCGCTCCTCATCTGAGAAGCTTCTTCAGTTCTGACAGAACTGAAGTTGCTTCTTGGATGAGAAGTAAAATGTCTTCAAGCAAAGCAAAAAATATCCAGTTGCCTTTTGAAAAAGCACCTTTGGGACAGCCATGACCTGGGTGACTGAGAATCTCCACAGACATGTCACTTGGAATGTTTGAAGTCACTTCAAGGAAGCCACATTGACAGAAATATTGCTGGGCATGGGTGAGGGTCCCTCTCCCATGTTCCTCCTTCTTGGAAGCAGAGCCATCCTTTCCTTGAATTGCCCTAGCCTGCCTTTTTCTCCTCCCCTGCTTCAGGCCCTCCCAGTATCCGTGCCATGAAGAACCTTACAGCTGTGGCAGGCCGGGACACCTTCATCAACTGCAGGGTGATTGGCTACCCCTATTACTCAATCAAGTGGTATAAGGACTCATTGCTCCTGCCAGACAACCACCGACAAGTGGTCTTTGAAAACGGCACTCTCAAGCTGATGGATGTCCAGAAGGGGATGGACGAAGGGGAATACCTTTGCAGCGTCCTCATTCAGCCGCAGCTCTCCATCAGCCAGAGCGTCCATGTCACTGTGAAAGGTGGGTAGCCACAAGTAGGAGTTCTCCCTGGCACTCTCACGCCTCTCCTTCCACGACAGGCCTGCTCTCTGGCCAGGCCGCTCCTCTGACGGATTCCATGGCTGGCCAGCAGATGGAGCAGGACTGGTATGTGGCCTCCATAATGCTGTCCCTGGCTATGCCTGGGAGAGGGCCAGGCAGGAGTTCCAAAAGATGGCACCCTGGTGTGCTTGTGGGCAAGGGCTTCCCTTGGTAAATAGCCAGCCAAGGAAGGGGATAGAGAGCCAGATGTGTGGCGCGCTTGTTTCTTGGAAGAAGGGAATGGTTCTTGAGCAGGTAAGGGCAGAGGCAGCCATCAGCAGGAATGGCTTGGCAGGCCCCTGTGCTCCAAAGGGGTTTCCAGCAGCAGTGGTGGGTGGGTGGGCATGTGGTATGTCCTATTTCTACCTGGTCCTTAGTCCCAGGTGACCTCATCTGGCATTTTCAGTGGTGTTATGCCACTCCCCTTTCTCTATGTAAACGTGCCAAAGGCTGAACAGGGGAAAGCCCCCCCCAAACCCCACCTCTCCACTCAGCCAGTTCCCACCTATGAATCCTGCTTTTCTCCATTGGAAACCCCACCCCCCATAAACACACTAATAACTGGCTCACATGAACCAAACTGTTCAAGATACCCTGCTTGAAACCTTCCTTGAGTTGCCCTGAAAGGATTGTGGGTAGTGCCAGGTAAGGAAAACAGATGAACCCAGCCTTCATTTCTTTTGGGGCTCACAATCTTGCCTTGCATTTCCTTTTCACATCACTCTTCACTGCTTCATTCAATTGCTTGAAAGGATCACCCAGCTGTTGCAGTCCTGATCCACTCTCTCCTCCACCTCCCGATCCATGGGATCTGTTTCCAACAGTAAGCTCTGGAGTCAGGTGAAACAGCTGACCTTTGCTCAGAGCACCTTTGGGGGTGGCTTTCTCTGTTTGCGGCTCTGTAAAGGATCGTTCTCTCGTCCTGCCAAGCGCACAGAACATTGTAAGCATTCTCCAATTCATCCATTATTCAGCTCCGTTTGGGGAGCCATCAGCTCTAAGGAATGGAAAAAGAGGCGGGCTTGCCTTGACTTTCCACCCCAGGGCTTGCTCAGCTTGAGCTCATGGCTGGACTGGCCCTTGCCAGACCACATTTTGGGGGCAAGGACTTCTGGGGGGGGGGTCAGAGATGGTTTTGAGCTGTGTGAGTGCTTGCAACTGGGAGGCAGTTGCTGCAGTTCTGGAGAAGGTGTAGCAGCTGTTTTGGCTTCCCTGGAATTGAGTGTTGTGGGGGAGGGAGCGCAGCTTCCCCTCCCCCCCAGGCTGCTTGCATCCTATAGACTGGTTTGAAAGTGTCAGAGAAGCAACTCATGGCTGCTTGTTAACGGTTTCCTGCTGCCCTGGCCTTCTTCTTTCAAGCAAGTTTGCCTGGACTTTAGGTGAACAAGGTTGGCTCAGCCTTCAGGTTCCCTTCCCTACTTGCTCATGGACGGTTCTTTGTATCTGCCAGATTTTATGCAAATTTCTTAGCTGCCCTGCTGGTTCTTCCTTCCCCAAAGGGCAATGCAGGGGGAAGCCCTGGTTTTGAAGCTGCTGATCTTTCTTTGTGACTGCCTAAAGCCCAAGAAATGGGAGGCCAACCGTTCCCTATTTCAGGGAGATGAGAGGCTGAGGCTCAGCAGCCCTGCTTTTCTGTGGGGATGGCCTGTCTCAGTGGCCCTTGAGTGACCTCGACCTTGACTCTCTTCTGGAGGGCATTTAATCTTACTTTGGTAATCATTTGGTTTAGTTAATTTAATTCTATATTTTTGTTATTTTGTTACTTGTATTCTTTTGTTTATTTTTCTTGTAAACCACTAAGGAACAGGAAAAACTCAGATATGTTTGAGGGACAGGAGTTGCTCAGATGTAGCACCTTGGTTCTTGGTAGAGGTGCCCACCAGGAATGGAGCAACATGATGGAACATACGTCATGGTGCAAACTCCACCTCTTTGAACTTTTGTCTGAAGCTGCATTGCAAATCCTAAAGAATGAAGCTAGCATTGTGGCATCACAATACATTTAAACATTTTGACATCTCTATGGTTAGGAATGCTGTTTCCACCAATAAATCCAATCGGTCAAAGCATGACTTCCTCCTGGCTGGGTGGAAGAGCCAGGTCTTAACTGCCTTTCAGAACTGCCAGGAGAGAAGAGGTAGGCCAGATATCCATGGGAAGAAGGAGATTCAAAGCCGAAGAGCAGCGATCAAAAATTCCCATTTCCTAGGTCTCGTCAGATAATATTCACAGGAAATGGGATCTGGAAGAAGTTAACCCTATTTGATTTGATTGGACAGACAGATAAATAAGAAAGAAGATGCTCCCAAAGATAATCCATCCCAGAGCCATATAGCGCCTTAAAAGTGATAATTAGTGCGTCAAATCCCACTTAGAAGCCAACTGGCATCTAAGAGACCTCCGGAAGCTGTCTAATATAATGGGAAACACCATCTCTGCCCAGGCTGCTCATTTTGTACCAGCTACAGCTCCGGAAGGTGTTCAAGGACAGCTCTGTGCCAAGCATAACACATTCACCCAGCAGGAGGCAGCTAGAGTGACTGAGCATCCTGATCCAGGAGGAGACACAATTGGTGCAGAGGAAGCAGCTGTACAAAAGTCCTCCTCACCACAGCTGCCCTTGCTCCTCCAGCAAGGGCTGAGTCTAGAAAGACCCTCTGCTTGTGGAGTGCCTCCAAGCAGGAGAGAAGACCCCATTTAGAGCCCAAACCACTCTTATCTTGGAGGAAGTCGTTCTGGCTCTGTTCTTCACCATCCAGAAACCGGTCACTCAGGATTATTATGCTTAAGATGGTCAGCTTCATTCAAAATCTTTTGAATGAATGAATGAACCTCTTTTGCCCACAAGCTCACAAAGCCCTCTGTGTGGGCAAAATGTTTTGTGGGTGCTGTGGCAAATTATATGGGGCCATGTCAAATGTGTGGGGCAGTTTGGGGAGAGTAATTAGATTTTTGTGTGTGTTTTGATTGATCTGTCTGTCTTAGGACTTGCCTCTAATTGATATGAATTTCTCATCTCAAAATAGTAGGAAACATTTCCAGCAGTGATGATCAAAGGTATTTGTGAGGCTGCCATAGGCCTTGAAATGGGGTGAGCTTTCATCCAATTCATCCTGAACCTTTCACCAGGGTCTCTCTAGCCCTTTGTCTACCCTTTCATCCTCATGGGCTCCTTGGGAAGAGCAAGGAACCTGCGCAGCTCCCTCAGCAGGGAAAGGGCACCCGGGAACGATTGCATCGATTGTCGCAGAGAGGATTAGAGAGAACCAACAGTTTTGGTGCAAGATATTTTCTGAAAATACCAGAAAACAATTTGGATCTAAGAGGTTATCAGATCTTCCAAGCCACAGTCAGGATTGCAGAAGACCAGCAAAGTAGCTCAGATTAATAACATTTATTAGGAAAATGGTTTTATACAAGAATTCTAGTAACTAACCTTGTTTTCAAATGGGACAACTTGTAGCTGTTGGATTGTAGCTTTCTTTCTCTTGTGCTTGCGCTATAATACATAATGGTTTTTAGCCACATTCTCAATGTGAGAATTTTCCTTTCTGGTGGTAGTAAAGTGTTCCTGTAAGTCCTGTATATTCTAATGCAGTGGTTCTCAACCTGTGGGTCGGGATCCCATTTGGGGTCGATCAACCATTTCACAGGGGTCACCAAGAAAGGCTGTCTGCCATTTTTTTTGTCCACCATTTGTTTTGTCCGCCATTTTTTTCCCCTTTTCCGGCGGGTGCCTTACCTCCCTTGGGCTGGGCCAGCTGGTGGTCGGCCTGCTCTGTCTCTGCCGCTTGCCAGCTACGCCTCGGCCGGCGCAGGGGGCGGACCCACGCATGCGCGGCGCTCCTGGGCAGGGAAACTCCTCAACGTACGACCAGTTGGGTAGTCCTCGACTTACGACCGGTTTAGTCCTCGACTTACGACTGGTTTAGTCCTCGACTTACGACCGGTTGGGGTCGCAGCATTAAAAAGGTTGAGAACCACTGTTCTAATGGGTAGGGATTTCTCCACAGCAGAGAATTATCTGCTGTCCATCAATATTCAGGTTCTTGCTCTTTTACAAATCTGCTGTTCACCAAGCTTGAGTGTGCCATGAGGGCTTGCAACTGTCTTGCAAAATAGGTAAGACTTTCCATGAAGGGAGAGCTATGGCTAAAAAAGGACTTTGTGGCCCCTGAACTTGTGGCTGAGAGTTCCCCTGGTCCCCCAGAGCTACTTCCAAACTCCCAGTTGCTGTGTAGAATCTCTCTCCATTGTCTGAGCAGGCCTCCCCTCGAACCATGGGCTGCACTGGGCGACCTCTCTCCTCTTCCTGCTTTTCCACCCTCCAGAGGTCAGTGTTGTCCAACACATTACTCTTTTTGACAGTTCCTCCTCTTATCCAGCCCTTTGAGTTCCCCCCGGCCTCCATTGGGCAGCTCCTGTACATTCCATGCGTGGTCTCTTCGGGTGACATGCCGATCCGCATCACTTGGAGGAAGGATGGGCAGGTGATTGTCTCAGGCCCTGGCATCACCATTGAGAGCAAGGAGTTCATGAGCTCCTTGCAGATCTCCAGCGTCTCCCTGAAGCACAATGGCAACTACACCTGCATTGCCAGCAATGCTGCTGCCACCATTAGCCGAGAGCGGCAGTTGATTGTGCGAGGTAAGGAGCCTAGTGGGGAAAAGCCCTGATAGTTCCCAAGGTTGGCCTGGTTGGCTTCCTAGGAACTGCCCAGGAAGGGGCTGGGCCACTTCTGCTCTTCAGCATTTCTTCAGACCTGGCATTTTTGAGGTGTTAAGCCAGATAAGGGAAGGAGATGGGATGGGAATATTGAAGTGAAGGGAAAAACTGGCAGTAAAGGATCCACGAGTGAAGGAAGGCTTTGGGAACGTCCCTGTGCTGTTCCTCACCTGTTCCCTTGTTCCACAGTGCCTCCTCGTTTTGTGGTCCAGCCCAACAATCAGGATGGGATCTATGGCAAAGCTGGGGTCTTGAACTGTTCAGTGGATGGGTATCCCCCTCCCAAAGTCATGTGGAAACACGCTAAAGGTTTGTGAGATCTTTCCTTTGGGGCTGCAGGGGAGGGGGCTACGCCTTCAAAATGTATGGAGCAGGGACTTTGATCCACAGCTGGAAGAAGACAGACCAGCATTGAGAAGAGAATCAGAGGTGACCTGGTGGATGGCTTGGTCAGGTCTTTCCCCATCCATTTAGGGGCCTTTTTCTCTTTGTTGTTTTCTTCCAGGCAGTGGGAACTCTCAGCAGTACCACCCTGTCCCCCTGACAGGCCGCATCCAGATCCTGCCAAACAGTTCGCTGCTCATCCGGCATGTTTTAGAAGAAGACATCGGCTATTACCTGTGCCAGGCCAGCAATGGGGTTGGGACAGACATCAGCAAGTCCATGTTTCTCACCGTGAAGAGTGAGTGAGGCAGCCGTGCCTGCCCTTCTCTCAGGGAGAGCACAGTTTGTGTGAGCTACAGTTTTTGTGGGCAACCAAGAGACTGCTTTTGTTTGTGGGATGGGGCCATTCCTAGATGTTTTGTGCATCTATTAGCCCCCCCCTGAAAATAAAAGTTGTTGACTTGGTATCCCTCCTTTGCGCTATTTGCCAGGTTATTTTGCCCCTCTGATCAAGGTCTTGGTTGCTCCATTAGTTGGGATTGTCACCCAAGTAGTCTCTGATCACAGATACTGTGTGCTTAGCATATCAGATTGGCCACCTGTTGGCACTTCGATTACTCTGGCAAGGTTCATTTCTAGTACTTCTCTTGCAGTCCTGGAAGTCAGTATGCAAGGAAGGGGATGTTCTCCTGGGACACATTGACTTTAATAAAACCAGGCCCTCAGCTGATCTTGATGGGAGGCAAAAGACAGCCATCCCTAATAGCACACATCCCACCGAGAAGCCCAGAACAGTTGGGGACAGGCGAATGGAAAGACATGTGAAGCAGCTGGGCAATGTTCTCTGGTCTTGCCACCAGGAGAAGTACCCTCGCACTGAATCCCTCCTTTCATCCCTTGCATTGGAGTTTTGCATGAGCCTAATTATTTTCCCCACTTGTCAGTCATTATTCTGATGGTTCTAGGAAGATCTTCCCCCTAAGGTGATTATAGCTTATGAAATCTCCCTCTTCAGTTTTTATGTTCTACTCTGGCACTGACAGCCAGACTGGGGGGGGGGGAGGGCTGTCCCAAGGCCATAATAGGGCCTTTACCCATTTTGCAGCCATTGCTCACATGCTTCTGGTAGTCAGCAGGTGCGTGAAGGCTGGAAAGGTGGCCTCACTGTCTAAGCATTACTGATTGCTTCCATGCATTTTAAATTAATCTCATGCTTCAGGTGAAATGCAGCTAATCAGGGTAGACAAGAAGCTGAAAAGGGTGCAATCAAATTAACACCACAGAGCTTGCACTTAAGACCACCCCCATGTTTGCTTTGGCTCTCTTCCCTTTCAGTACTCTGTTCCTATTTTATTTGCTGCTGTGCTCTAGTGGGACTTGGGAAGGAGGAATACCCCAAACACTGACAATTCCCTTTGTAGCTGCCTTATCTCAGACTATCAAATGAAACTAGTCTCTTGTCTGCAACTTGTTCACAAGACACCAAAATGAAGAGCCTGAAAAGGGTGTGCTTGGGGGGTGGGGTGATGGCCTTTTGCAAGGTTTGCTTCTTCAGGAGAGATGGAACAGATGGGGTGTGGGGAAAGCTCACCTCCAGAGGCATGCCTGTGGTCTACTCTTTCACAATGAAGGCTGGCGGGCACACGGAATGTCTGCCTTCCCCTTCGCTGTACTGTGCTAACACTCCCTTCTCAAGTACCAAACAGCATTCCAGTAGGAGTCTGGGACCAGCCTTGCTCATGGCAGGGAATTCATTTCCTCATGTGTCCTCTGAAAAGGTCCTTTTCCTAACTTGATTTTCCCATTATTCAAATCTATTGGATGATCTTCAGAGCCTCCTTGCTGTCTCCTTATCTGGTATAACTTAGAAGACAGTGACCCCAGGGCCCATTTTGAATAGAAAAACAGTTTCTGGGAGTCAGGGATGAGCATAACTAGCAGTGGCCTTGACAACCATTCAAGGTTCTAGACAGTTTTTAAGAGCTATCAGTGGGCAATGGGCACATGAGAGTGGGTTGCTTCTTTTTGCTTTCCCAGCTCCAGTTTTTTTTCTGGGGTATTGGGGAGGGCTTTTAAGATAAGCATTGGAGCTGACAGGCTTTTGGGTATGGCATAATTTTCTGCTTTGTGAGGGTGTTGGTTGGGAGCTTAGTTCAAATGGTTTGAAGCTAGTAACCAAGCCAAAAATTGAGGCTTGTGAGTTCTTAATTTGTCTAAAATACATATACATTTAGAGAACTTATATTGCTGTCTATCTCATACAATTACCCTAAGCTGTTCAAATAATCCATAAAATATTGTTTAAAAAGTACCCTCCCTGTGCGGTGCTAGGCCCAACTTCCTCTCAGCTCAACTTCCCATCCTAGTTCAGTGCTTGAGGGAAGAACCAGGTCTTCATGTTCCAGAAGGCTAAAAGGGTCTGTCTTTTACTGAAAACCCACATTCCCCCAAAATACCCTTCATGGTTAACCATTGCAGTTATCAGCACAGCAGCCACACATTTGGGAAGGAGAAGGCCTCTGTCAACCATGGAAAGGGTGGCATGTGGGCCATCTCCAAAAGAAGGTTGTGACCGGCCAATAGGCATACCTGAGAGGGGATTTCCCCTTGCTGGTTGCCACTCATATGCCCCCAGGTTGGGCTCCAAGTCACCCTCCTGGTTCTCTCTCCTTTTTTGCCTCACTCTCTCGGGACTCATGGCACCGCTTTGTGCCATCTGCCCTGCAGTTTCTGTTCTGCTAAATTGCCCAAGTGGGCACTTTCCCGACTGAATGGCCAGCATTAAATGCACACCGTTCTTTTGCTTGCTCTTGCCTGCCTCCCCTCTTCAGCCAGCAGGTTATGTGGCACTCCAGTTCTGCACACAAAATTGTTTGTGCGGCGATGTGGCATCACAGTCCACCCTTCGTTCTGTCCACATGCTGCCAATGGGAGCAAGCTAAAAGTCAGCCTTTTCCCAGCTGCTAATTGAATTAGATTGCCATGGAAAGTGGAGAAGCTGTAGCTCATTAAAGCCCCCAGTGTCCCATTAGAACTGTGTGTGTTGCCTTTGCTGATTGTCATTACCATACATTACCACACTCCTTGGGTAAGCTGTGCCTTTTTTTAATCTCTGCCCCCTGAGCCAGCCTGGTTGCATACTCAACATTTCCCCCCCCCCATCCTTTTTGGATTAGGAAGAAGAGGAGGGGTTAGCATGTGGTAGCATGACTTCGTGGCAACTGCCTCTGTGGTGAGCAAGAGGTTCTGGCTGCCACTGGAATCTTCTCAGAAGCTTAATGGGCAGGCTAAGCTGCTGTGGAAGCTGAGGGGTGGGGGTGGGGGAACCTTGGCACAGACAGCTGGCAGCCAAAGCAGCCCATGCAAGAGCAATGGAGAGCAGAAAAGGGGGAAGAAAAATGCCCACCCTCAAGCCCTTCAACTTGGCCTGCGGTGAAAAGGAGCCCATCCATTCCTCCGTCTACTGTACAAACTCAGATTTTGTCTGCCCACTTGGTCTCCTATGCCCTGAGCTCTTCAATCAAGCTTCCTGCCTTGCAGCTGTCCCTGTGTGGGCAGCCTCCCACAGACCATTGGGAATCCTGTCCCCCATGTCCAGCAGGAAGATCATCCAAACTCAATGCTCTGGGAAGGGCACATGCAACTCCAGGCTGAGTCTCCAGCCTAAAAAGAAGCAATGGGGCTTTGTTCTCACTGAAGCAAACTCTGGGGTGGCCTGGTCCAAAGCAGGTCATTGCAACTTCTTACCTTCCACCACCAAAGTCCCGTGCACTGCTAGGCTCTGACAATTCCACCTGCTTCTGCATGTCTGTCGGGGTGTGTGTGTGTGTGTGTGTTATTTGGAGATGGCTTTGCCTTGCCTTTTGTCGATTCTCCCCCCTCCAGTTCAGAAGCTGTGAACAGTTGCTGCAGGTTGACTGTCTTGCTGGTTCAGCTCAGCTGATGTTTGCACTACACAGAAGTCTGGAACTCTGTCAATTGCAGCTAAAGAAAGCAACAGAGATCCCTCTGCTTTGCTAAGGCCCATTTGATCAAAATGACCAAAGTGTGGAAAGGTTCCCTTTGGCCATAGCTGGAAACTCTGGACAACTGCCCAGTTAGGCACTGGCCTTGGTCACAGCTTTCATGTCAGCAGCTGCTGACCACCTTTGGAGCTCCTGGAATGAAAGGAGGCTCCTTCGTGGGCTTTTTATCTTTGCGTTCCCTCACAAGCCAAGCCTCTCTCTTGTAAAACCTTCCTTGCGTGTGTTCTGCCCAGTTCCTCAGAGGAAATTATGCAGATCCCTGTTTGAAAAGTATTCCATGGCACATCCTTGAAAGTAAAAAACCTTAGTCAATAATTCATATGGGCTTCACCCTGGCTGCAGCTTTTTCATGGTTAAATCTTGTACTTGGTTATTTGTCTTTCACAATTTATTGTGGATCCAGATGTGCATTATATATTGTGCCTGCTTCATTATTCCATGCACTTGAACTATGGTGGAAGACAGGGGAGTTCCTTCCTGGTTCATGTTCTCACTCCTTGGCTAAGAATTAACAGGCGGTATCTAGCCAGAGAGTATTGAGCCTCTCCTGCGGCTGGGAGTGGGGTTTCTTTGGGCAATTCTGGTCATTTGTGGATGTGCATCTGAATGCCAGCGGTTTTGGTGGCTTCCTCCACCAAGTGGATGCTAGGTGGAAAGGAATCATGGATTCCCCCTTGTTTCTCTTTCCTGGACCAGTTTCCCCCTGTGACTAGCCTCTGGGGGAAGAAAGGGGGGGGGAGAGTGCCTCTGAGAAGCAAGAGTGGGCGCTCTTGACTGATTTTTCTTTAAGCGCTGGTTTATTTATTTATTAAATTTATATGCTTCTCATCTCACTGTTATAATACTGTTGTTCATCTTCCGTGTTTGCGTTAGCCTCCTTGTGTAACATTTGGAAGAGAAAAGCAGGATAATCCCTCCAAACAGGAGTCCCCTGATTAGCGCTTAATAGTAGAACTTTCTCGATGCTCTCTAGTGCAGCAGATCTGGGGAACTTAAGCCTTCAGCATGGCTGCCTTTGTGACGCACAAAGCTCTCTGGGTGACTCAGAGATCCTTTTTGCTCATCAGATTAAGCTCTGGGTTGCAAGGGCGGATAAATATCCCAACATGGATCTCTTTGGCGAAGGGGATGCCTCAAAGGTGCTGTTTGTCCAACTGAGGGTGCTTTTCCCATACTGTTGGAAGGTTTGTTGAGCTTGCTCCCCCAAAGGGCAGGACCCTGCTGCAATCGCCAGATCTTTAAGCTTCCAGCTGCGCTGTTCAAGTTTCTTAGATGCTTCTCATTTAGTTTCCCTTTTCAGGGAGTTATGGTGTAATACAAAAATAATCTAAGTCCTTCTCAGGTATTATCGCCTCCTCCTGCCTGAATGTTCTGATTCAGAGGAAAACATTACAAGCAACAGAGACTTCAACAGACTTCCCTGTATGCATTATAGGAGTGTGATTGGTTTATTTTTTGTACGGAAGTATTTCCTTCCCTGCTCTGTCCCTCTCATAACTTTGTATTTATGTCTCTGAAAATATTTTATATAGAATTATTTTAATTTATAGCAATTTGTATTTCAATTCCTCTTTCTTTACTTCAATTATGCTTTATATTAAATCAGTTTGAAGGTAGTATAGAAATTGGTTAATTAACTAAATTGGCCAAAAGCGTGTCTATTCTGTTCCTGCCCTTTAGAAATTGGCATAAACAGAATTTCTGATGATGGTCTTGAAGGGTTTTTGAAGCATCTACTCCTTTTCTTTGAGGTTCCTCTCTTGCCAATCACAGCCTGCTTCTCTTTTCTTGGCAGTCCCAGCTATGATCACCTCTCACCCCAACACCACCATTGCCATCAAGGGCCAGGCTAAAGAGCTGAATTGCACAGCTCGTGGTGAGCGCCCCATTATCATTCGTTGGGAGAAAGGGGACACTGTGATCGATCCTGACCGAAACATCCGATACACCATTGCTACGAAGGATAATAGTGACGAGGTCATCTCTACCCTCAAAGTAAGAAGCACAGCTGCAGTGCCGAGTGGGTATGGGCAGGGCTGCAGCTGGGCTCTTAACATGCTGGGAGCCATGGTAGCGCAGTAGTTAGAATGCAGTACTGCAAGCTACTTCTGCTGACTGCCGGCTGCCAGCAGTTCGGCAGTTTGATTCTCACCGGCTCAAGATTGACTTAGCCTTCCATGCTTCCCAGGTCGGTAAAATGAGGAGCCAGATTGTTGGGGACAGTATGCTGACTCTATAAACCGCTTAGAGAGGGCTGTAAAACACTTTGAAGTGGTATATAAGTCTAAGTGCTATTGCTATTTGTGGCAAGGGAGACCATAGCTAGCCTGGAGCTTTGGATCATTCTTGGGTGCAATAGGGGGTACAACTTTCCTTTGCTGCTGAAAACTCCAACTTGCTGCCTTGTCCAGAGATCTTTCAGAGAATGGCATTGAGATTTCAGCTGATGTTGCCTTGTCCACAGCTGAAGCCTGCTGAACGAGGAGACTCTGTTTTTTTCTCCTGCCATGCGATCAACTCCTATGGTGAAGACCGAGGACTTATTCAGCTTACTGTACAAGGTATTGGTCTTTGTCGGATGTGTATGCATGTATGCAATGGTGCCTTTTGTGGAGACCTTTCAGATAGTGCTGGTGGCTTTTGTGTGTAACTTCTGCTGGGGTTATCCCCAGTTTATGACAAGTGATGCTTTGAGGGTGGCAGAACACTGACCACATTTTAGAAAAGCTCCTATTAGCAATAAAAACCTAAGGGAGTCAGCCCAATTTCTAATTTTTCATGGACAATTTCCTGAAAAAGCAGGACATGAACATGGATGGAAGGGTGCTTCCTCCTCCGTCCCCCTCCAAACAGTGCCCAGATTTTGGAAGATGGGGAGCTGCTGATCTCCCATTCAAAAGGCCTCCGTTCTGCTTTGTGTCTCAGGAGAACTAGCCAGGGGCTTTTGAGGCAAGGCAAATTTCCCTGATTGGACTGAGCTGCCATAGAAAGTAGTTCAGTGACCCACACCGGGCTCTTTGGCGCTGCCCTTAGCAATGGTCCCAGTCATCCTTCATCCACCATCTGGTATGCAGTGGTCCTTCCAAAATGGTCTTCTGTCCCTCTCAGCTTTTACATTTTGTGCTGGATATGCAGTTTTAGTTTATTCACTCTTTGATATATATTGAGATATTGTTCAATTCGCTAACCTATTTTTACCTGCATTTTCAAGAAAACCTACTGAATGTGGAAGTCCTTCTTGGCACCTCTACCCTTCTTGCTAATTTTTCCAACTTGCATTTTCCGGGTGTCTGGTGTATGCTTTTTGTATGCTGTGCATGGGGTGGGGGTGGGGGGGTAGCATTTCCTATTTCTTACTGCTGCCCTTCTGTCCCTCCCCAGAGCCACCAGACCCTCCAGAACTGGAGATCCGAGAAGTGAAAGCCCGGAGTATGAACTTACGGTGGACTCAGAGGTTTGATGGCAACAGCATCATCACAGGTTTTGATATTGAGTACAAGAATAAGTCTGGTGAGCAGAACTAATGAAGTTCTGAGTGGAAACCAGAATTGGGAAAAGCCTTGCTTAAGATTCACATGCATGAAAAAAAAATGTCCTCGACTCACAACAATTCATTTAGCAACCTTTCCAAGTTACAACAGCACTGAAAAAAATGACTTATGATCGTTTTTCACAGTTATGACCATTGCAGCATCCCCAGGGTCATCTGATCAGAATTGGAATGCTTGGCAACTGGCATGTATTTACGATAACTTCAGTGTCCCGGGGTCTCGTGATCACATTTTGTGACCACCTGACAAGCAAAGTCAATGGGGAAGCCAGATTCATTTAACAACCATGTTACTAACTTAACAACTGCAGTGATTCACTTAACAACTGTGGTAATAAAGGTTATAAAATGGGGGAAAACTCACTTAATAAATGTTTGACTTAGCAATAGAAATTTTGAGCTCAATTGTGGCCATAAGTCAACGACTACCTGTACTGAGAAAATGGGAGAAATTCAACTTGAATAGAATGCTGGCTTGGCTGGCGTTGAACAATGTGGCAGGAAAAAAGTGCCAGGAAAAATGGGTTTTGGAAGAGGTGCAAGTAAAGCTTCAGTGTTGCAGGTACTCGTAGATGCAGTTCCACTGAGGATTCCGTGTCAAGTGTGGTTGGTCAGCTAGTTGTGAATCCATCTGCTGGTAATGCTGTCCATCCCACATTTTTTTTGTTAAATGCCTTACTGGTCTATGTAAACTATGTCCATAGCATTTCCCTGATGCATTAATTTAGTCACTTTGTCAAAGAAGGCAACAAGATTTGTCTGGCATGATCTGTTTTTAACAAGTCCATATTGGCTTCTAGTAATCACTTTGTCATTTCTAGGTTTTTGCAAATCCACTGCTTGATTATCTTTTTCCAGGATTTTCCCAGGTATTATTGTCAGGCTGATTGGCCTCTAGTTTCCTAGATTCGGTTTTCTTTTCCTTTTTGAAGACTGGAACTACATGAGCTCTTTTCCAGTCCTCTGGCAGTTCCTTGGTTCTCCAGGAGCTTTGAAAGATTTTGTTCAGTGGTTCCGAGATCACTTCTGCTAGCTTCTTCAGAACTCTGGGATGCAATCCATCTGGCCTGGCGATTTGAACTCATCCTTATTGCACAGGTGATGTCTTACCATTTTCTTGCCTAATTTGACTTGTATTCCTACTCTGCCATCTACTGTACTCCTTTTGATAGGTTCAACAGAGGCAAAAATGGATTAGGCAATTCCATTTTCTACCTGTTACCCATCACTTCCTTGCCATCTTCTCCCTTTAGTGATCATTTCCTTGATTTTTTTTTGTTTCTTACATGTTGAAAAAGGGGGCACAATGGCTCATTGGTTAAAGATGCTGACCTTGTCAGCTGGAAAGCTGACAGCCCAGGTTGGAGACCTGAGCGCCATGCCCACCTAGCATTTTGAAAGCATGCAAATGCGAGTAGATTAATAGGCACAACTTTGGTGGGACAGTAACAGTATTCTGTGCATCTTTGGTGTATAGCCCTGCTGGCCACATGACCATAGAAAATGTCTTTGGACAACCCTGGCTTCCCCAGAGAAGAAACGGAGATGAGCACCACGCCCTAGAGCCAGACACGACTGGATAGGAAACCTTTACTTTTACATGTTGAAAAAAACATTTTATTATTTATTTATAGTTCTTTGCACAGTCAGCCAGATGTTTAGACTGAATTTGGCATTTTTATCCATCTATCAGGTCCTTTGCAAGGATCTGGGATAGGCCAAAATGGATGATTGAAGGTATTACAGATATCATCGCAGGATGTCAGCTGTTCTAAGTAAAGCTGCAATTGTCAATGCCCATGGTGTTCAAGTGGTGCTCCAGTTGTTTTGGGATTGCACCCAAGGAGCCAATACTATTGGTACCATCTTTGCTTTTGTTTGCCACAATTGTTCCATTTCTATTTGTCTTTGTATTTTGTTATCTTCCCAGTTCTTTCTCTGCCTCTCCAGATACTGCCACATCCACTATCCAGATGGTTTTTGTCCTTCTTATGGACAATTGTTAAGTCTGACCTGTTGTGCGTCAAATGCCTGTCCATTTGAATTCTAAAGTTCCAGAGCACTTTAGCTTCTCCAGTTTCTATTACTTTATTTTATGGTCACACCAGTTCTTGTTTGCAGGCACATGGCATTACTTGCAAATCTTCCAATGCACCAGTGTTGCTATTTTGTCATGCTGTTGTTTGTACAATCTTCTTGCAGCAGCTAACCAGGTGGTCCACTGTTTCTTCAACTTCTTCACAGAGGCAGCACTTGCTATCTATTGCTATGTTTTCAATTCTGGCTTGCTGTGCATTTGTTCTTAAGGCTTGTGCAGCCAGAATTACTGTAGCCCCTCTGTCTCTTTCTTCAACTTCCCTGTTCTTAGCCATTGCCACATTTTGTTGTTACCTTGTTTGCCTACTTTTTTTTAATAATGTACTGGCCACATAATGCTTTGTCTTTCCATGCCTCCTTTCTGTTCTTCATTTGGTCTTTCTTGTAGGCCAGTTTGGTCTCTCTGGTACTTGGTAAACCTTCCCGCTATACTAGTTTCAGTGCATTTTCTTTACTGTCCTTCAGATATTCTTCCAATGCCTTTTTTTCTTCTTCAACTGTCTACTGTACTTGCAGCATTCCAGGCCCAACTATTTTCCTAGGTAAGTAGAGTCTGTCAATGTCACTCCAAGGATGAAGGGCATGATTCTTTTCATTATTTTTCTGGCCTTCCTATCTAAAGCCTTTAGTTTTACTTGAGTCCAGTCTACTATTCCAGCTGTGTAGCTAATGATAGGGATTACCCAGATGTTAATTGCCTTGATAGTATTTCCTCCACTGAGTTTGGACTTTAAGATCTTCACTCTAATTATGTTATTTATATTTAACCTTCTTCTTTACTTCAGTGTGGTTGATGTTGTTAGCCTGAAGGATACCCAGGTATTGTAGTGATTGTCTTCATCCAGATTCTTGATGTTATTCCTTCGGTTTTCACTATTTTTCCCTGTTTGATGGTAAGCATGGTACATTTGTCCAGTCTAAACTCTCTTGCAAAATTTTGGCTATGTATATGGCTGTGTTCAGCAGCGATTCTATTTCACATACAATTTCAAATCATCCATGTAAAGAAGGTGGGATAGTCTGGGAGATGTTTTTGATGTTTGATAGCCATAGCTATTTGTTATTTATATGTAAATACATGTATTATTTATTGGTTGACATTATTTAACTTTTCTGTGTAACTACTTTGGCTAACTTATTACTATCTTTTAACCTACAGCCTCTGAGGAGCATACAATTTTAGAGGTGTGAGCAGAAAGCTCAAAAGTAAAGCTTCTTGACACCCTTTCCACCTTCCCAATTATTTGTGGTTTCAAAATGTCATAAACACGCAGCTGTATTTGAAACTCTAGATCAACAAATAATCCCACAACCATTCTGTTTATTTCCAGATTCTTGGGACTTTAAGCAATCCACCCGGAACATCTCTCCCTCCATTAACCAGGCCAATATTGTGGACCTCCACCCGGCCTCCGTATACAGCATCCGCATGTTTTCGTTCAACAAGATTGGCCGCAGTGAGCCAAGCAAGGATCTGACCATCAGCACAGAGGAAGCAGGTGCCCATTCACCTCAGGGCTGTATCCACAAGATAATTTATGAAACAAATAGGGTGATGGGCAAAGTGTGAGAAAGAGGAAGTCATAAAGGTTAAGAACACACAATTGCTATCTGTGCTTAAGACCCATTTCTTCTTTGCCCACCACCCTTTTTCTGGCCAAGAGTCTGTTGTACTCACCTAAAAGTCTTTGCTCCATAGACAAGATTTGTGTCTGTATGGGCGGCGGGGGGGGGGGGGAATCGATGCTTAAGCCTCTGTGGCAACCATGTGGGTGTGAGTGCACATGACCTTGTCAAGTTGGCAGAAGTCCGTGTCTGGAGGCCGTACGGGTCTGGATGGGGAGAAACAGACTCAGGCTCAACCCTTCCAAGACGGAGTGGCTGTGGTTGCCGGCTCCAAGGTATGGTCAGCTGACTCCATCGCTGACTATAGGGGGCGAAATTTTGGCCCCCTCGGAGAGGGTACGCAATCTGGGGGTCCTCCTGGATCCACGGCTGACACTGGAAGAC